GGGAGAGGGGAATCCAGCCCCTCCCCCTGTCACGGCAGAGAGCCGTGACAGGATCGAGAGGTGAGTGAACCTGGTATGTGTTCGCTCACCTCCCGATCTACTGAGCCAACCTGTGACAGTCTCATTGTCACAGGTCGGCTAGAACTATGAGGTGAGTGGAAATTACTCATCTCATAGTTATCCTTTAATCCTTGAAGTGCGGAGGTATCCCCACTGCAAGGGTTCATTTTTACATGCCTGGAGTTCTGCATTCACTGTCAATTGGTGGCCCTGTCTTCTGGCTTCCACCCAACATGCTTTGATTGAAAATTCGAAGGAGTGGGGCAGAAAACTGTCAGCTATATATATATATTTTGCAGAGGTGCCTTGATGTTACATTATCGCTTGATGTGTATTTGCAAATGTATGCAACAAAAACTTCTGCTTTTAGGGCTTGTTCATGTCATTGCGGTTCGTTAAGCGAATGGTTCCAAAATGAATGACAATGCAACGCACCTCCTGCACTGTTAACGCATGGTAGGTGAATTGTGCAGTACGGTGCGTTAATTGCAATGGTGTGAACAAGCCCTTAAAGGAGAACTATGGGGTTAAGGCTTTTCCCCATAGTTCCCCTTAGGGTAACGGGAGGGTAGGGTAACGGGAGGACACAAGCTAACATCCTACCGTCACCCTAAGCTCAGTATACCGCTACAGCTCGCGGTATACTGAGCCGCCACAGTATACCGCGAGCTACTGCCTGGCCTATACAAGGGAGGCTTTTCCAGGAAAATAACATGCATAAAACCTGTTACATGCAAATGTAAGTGTAGCGGGGATATAGCTGCTGCCCTTTTAAGAATGTATACCATTACAGAGATTATGTTGGTGTCAGGAAGACGGAAAATTGTATACCTATAGGTAATTTTCCTTTCCTGACACCAATACATGGCAGCATACAAATGAGGCAGAGCCATACCCATCCGTATGCTGCCATGTTGGAGTTAGGAAATATATATACTGTATATATATACCTGCGATGCACTACAGATAGCTGGAGAACAGTGGATAGGGATGATGGGCACTTCATGTGGCTGGGGGATTATGCATTAAGGACTCTTTGAGGCACTGGGGAGTCCTGTGAGTGGATGGGGAGTTGTGGAGGGGGCTGAGGGAGCACTGCAATGGGCTGGGAGACTGTGGATTGTGCTGATGGGGCACTAAAGGTAGCTGGGGGAGCTGTGTATTAGTGGCACTTCAGGGCACTGGGTAATTATGTGTACCTATAGGGGGTTGTAGATGGTCCCTAGTCCCTATATTCTTGCAGTGTCCACTCTCCT